ACCACTATGAGATTCTGGAACAGAACTAGAAACTACAACAGAAAATGTAACCTGATTATTCCAAGTGTCCCTGGGGATCCATAGTATTGGGGCCATGAAATACCAACAATACCTGTGCTCCTTCATTCCCCAAAGGGAGAAATATAGCACAAAATATTATGCAAAGACATTCACACAAACAGTTCATAATATTCCTGGGCATAAAAAAATCCTTATAGACAAATCATCAAAGTGTAGTATGATCTGTGAGAAACAGAAGTCAGTTGTGTGAAAGGAAGAAAGGGGCTGTGGAAATGGTTCTGTGATTAACAGCACTTCTTACTCTTCCATATAACCACAGTCCCTTGTTTCTGATGTACTCTTTTTTGCATAATCACAAGGCATTTGTAAGGCAAATATATGAGGGCAAACACTCCACATAAAATAAAAATAAATAATGTACTTATAAAATTAGTAACTAGTAACAGAAAAGAAGGGTTCTATTAATGATAGGGGAAATAAATACAGAAGCAGGAGTGAAGGTAAAACACAAGACTATGGAAATGCAACAAGGGATAATACTATCACATATACCATAAAAAGGCATACAGGGATGGAGGGATGGCTCAGTAGTTAAGAACACTGGCTATCCTTCCAGGTTATCTTTACTGAGGACCAGGGTTCAGTTCCCAGCACCTACATAGCAGAACACAAATGTCTGTAACTCCAATTCTAGGGGAATCTCACACTAATGCATATAAAATAAACTAAAACCTATAGTACACATGCACATGCATGCATGTGCACGCACACACACACACACACACACACACACACACACACAGAGTGGGGAAAATGTCTTCATATATATGGGCTCTTCTAAGAGCCAAAAACAATCTAACAGAAACACCTACACCAGGCATGAGAAGCTTCCGTTTGAATCGTTGGTCCTATTATTGCAGGCGTATTGGACAGAGCAGAAGGTGTCAGACTAAAATTTATAAAGTATGATGAACAGGCTTGAGAAATAAATAACAAAACATGCAAAATGAACAGAGTTGTAGGATGATGAATTATAGACATTAAGCAGAGTTTACTGAACTACAGATGAAAATTATATAGCAATGAAGCTCATAAGCAACATACATATATTTAACTAACATGCAAGAGTAATTGATTAGATCAGTTTAAGAAACATAAAATTCTTCTTCCTAAATGATAATTACAGTTTCAAGTCCTACTCTACCTCTCTTTAATATAGGCTAACCCATGAAGTTTCATGGAAAGTAAAGAGCTCACATCTGAATGTGAGGGGGCTAACTTTTCAAGAGCCACAGCCTACTTTTCATTTCTAAAAAACACATTTGGGGCATGTGGGGAATGTTCTCAACCTTGGTGTTTCTAACATTTTGAAATAGTATGTGTTTGTTTGAGGAATTGTCCTAGGCATTATATCATGCTTGTCACCTATTGTCACCACCCCAAAATGAGCTCTAGACAATATTCAGTCTCCTCTATGTCCAGCAGGGTGGTATATGAGGCAAATTGTCCATCCTTGAGAAGTATAAAATCAAAACATGTCAACCTAACACTTGATCCCTTTGCCTCCACTGAAGTTACTTAAGATTGCCATTTATTTTCAGTTTAGCTGGAAACACATATTTTTCCTTTGTCTAACTACAAACATGGACTCTGAGAAAAATTTCCTTACCAATGAAATATATGGCTATCCTAGTTGCAAGGTTATTTTAACTTTTATGATGTGTTTTATAAGTTTCAACTTACAAGTTTCACATTATAATTGATAAGTCGGCCTTCATTTACTTCCCAGAAAACAAACCCATCAGAAAAGCACTCAATTAGGGTTAAACTATTCCATTAAAGGTCAAAGAGTCTTTTCTTTGATCTGATGCTATGTGTCACATAAATAAGACATTAAACATATTCTATTAATGGTTCAATGTGAATAGGGGAAATTATACATTTCTTAATGATTTCCATGTGAAAATATGAACTGCTTTAAAAATTACAGGCATTAATGGTATTAAGGACTATTTATCTTTAATAATTTATGATTTTTAGAATTGTAAGAAAATTAAAAGCATATGCAAATGACTCATTGAGGACATAACCTCTGGAGGGAGAACTTAAGTAACTGTAACATAGCCTCGAGCAAAAGTTTTGGCTCATGTTGAGAATCCAGATAATATAGTATAACTAACATATCTAGAAAAAATAAAATTGTATTCCTAGGTCTCATTTAGCAACTAACCTAATATTGATTGTGGTATACCTGGTCTAGTATTTATTCCCACACATTTGAATGAATGTCCCCAGAAATTAACATTTTTTTCAATAAGCTAACATAATATAATTTAGAAGGATTATCTTTTTTGTTGTTGTTGTTTTTTTAGACAGGGTTTCTCTGTGTAGCTTTGGAGCCTATCCTGGCACTCACTCTGTACCAGGCTGGCCTCAAACTCATAGAGATCTGCCTGCCTCTGCCTCCCAAGTGCTGGGATTAAAGGCTTGTGCCACCAACGCCCGACTAGAAGGATTATTTTATAATGAGTGACCATATATAGACAGGTCTGTAACTTCTGTACGAGTTACATATGTCTGGAGCAACTGCTCTTGAAAGCAAATACAGACTAGGTGAACCAGTGTATTAGTCTGGACTTGTCAATAAACAGAACCTGTGTCATTGGAGGAGTCAAGAGACTGCCAAACCACAGCCATATTGTACATCGTGCTTTCCCAATTTAGACATTCCTAAAATACATGTCCTACAGCAGCTAAACCCTGTTGGCTGCAACACGTGGTAAGGATAATGAAGAATGTAGAAGTCCCTTAAGGCTTAGCAGAAGGACTTTAATTTTACAAAGAGTATATAGTAGTGGGGGAATAATTACTAATAACTTATATTGTAGAGTGATGCACAGCACCATGGAATGTGAGGAAGTCTAAACTGAGGATAAAAATGAGAACTAGAATTGGGCAAGGTGGCCCAGGGGATTAGGGATTTGCAGCCAAACTTGATGAACAAAGTTCGATCCCCATGACTCACATGATGGAAGGAAAGAACTGACTCCTGTGAATTGTTCTGAAACCTCCACATATGCACAGATGGGGACACACATATACACACAAAAACACACATTCTAAATAAATAAGAGTGTAATAAAAAAATCAAGAAATTAATACCATTATCAATACTCTCTTAGCCTATTGCAGTATCAGGATTGTATTAGCAAATCCTTCTGGTTATAACCAATACAGGTACTCACTTCAAAAATATATTTTTATTCCTAATTTTATCATTTACATTAATTTTTATTATTTATATTAATATACTCAGTTATTTGGTATCTAAATATTTTATGACCAATGTTTTATTTTTACACATGAATATACATTTGAAAATGTATTCCAGAAGCAGGCATGGTAGTATACCCCCTGTAAAACCAGCACTTTTGAGATTAGACAAAAGGATTTTGAGTTGAAGGCTAGCCTGAGTTATATAGGGAAAAAACATCCTTAAAAATTAGAAAAAAAAAGGTAGATTCCAAGAGATTATAAATGCTTCATCTTTTATGATGGAGCAATCTTCTGATAAGGATATTGCAAGCAAAAAATACTGAAAATAGACTTAAAGGAAACAGGGTAGCTTAGCAAGGTAGAACTCCGGAAGTGTTGGCTGTTTGCTTTGCTGTGAAGTGTGGGGGCTGGAGCTCTGTTCTCACTGCCAGCACTGTCCAACATCCTGAGAGACAATCATTCCTCACATTGCTAGCCCAGTTAAAGATAAAGAGCCAAAGTATGATTTCCAGTGAATATTATAAGCGCTGAAATATCCTACTGTAGAAAAAGCCTTAGTGGAACCATCTGCAGCTAGGGATTGGCCTATACTTTATTATGACTCCAGAGCAGCAACACAAAGGTGAGATGAAAGCTGGCCACAGAACTCTTCCAATAGAAAATCACTTTAGTTAAACATGAGGGACCTCAAAAGTCAAGTGAAGCAGGTTACTTAAAAGGTCTGATAAAATCTTTTAGAGGAAAATGGCAAAATTCTGAGAGCTATGATTTTCAAGAGTAAGGGAGAAATGGAAGTACTTCATCTTCTTGCCCATTCATATTCCTAAGAGGGACATGTTTACCCCTGAGATGCCACTGTCCCAGGCTTTAAACAATGAGAAGACACATTCCTCCTCTTATTTAATTAAACCTGGTAACCTTAATAAATGTGCGGGTTGAAAAGCATTTTCATTATTGCAATTCTAATACAAGCATTTATTTCCAAACTTTAGCTAACATCATTAAAGTATTTTGCATCGTTTTGGAAATGGAATCAGAAAGCAGTTTACAGAAAAATTCTCTGCTGATTTTTCTTAAGCACCGAGAAACAAAGAGCTGAAATTCATCACATAATGAGACACAAAGGCAGTTCAGATACAAAGAGAAAAACACTCGAAATGTTTCTATGATTTTAATGAAGTCTGCAGCAAAGGTCAAGCAAAGTTAAGCAAACCAGGTAACAATTATAGAAATAAGCACTTACCCATATTTTGCAAAATTTGCCCACAGCTTCATTATAGATCGACTCAACATTTCTTCAGCTCTCGTATAATTAGATCTCCGTTCCAGAGGCAAGCCAAAGACAAATTCGATTTCATAGCCATGCATCACTCCCATCCATTCAGGCCAAGGAACTTTGGAAGATCGGTGTTCGAGATAGTAGAAAAAGGCATTGTTTTCAAGGTCTGAAAATGTCTTGGTAAACTCCAATGCAGGGCAGATGATGTTGTGATCACCAATAACATCGTCCAAGGCATCTCGGTAGACTTCCGGTGTCTGGTCACCTAACCAGTCCACATAATAAAAAAGGATTGCTTCCTTGCCCAAGCTGCTCACTCTTGGGAAATACATATTTAAACCTTCTTGGAATTCCCTTCGAGTGATCAGACTGTCATTGTCTTTGCTGAAACCAGGAGCACCATACACTAGAAAACCAGTCCCTTCATCTTTGTTAACACCCACTAAGATCTGAGTTTTTTTCACTTGTCCAAGTTGGAGTAGTGTGAAGGGCATATCAGTGAGAAAATCACCATCCACCGTTGGACCGAAATTTATCGATAACAGGGAATCAGAGGGGAGAAGGAACCTTTCATTCACCAGAATTTCCTGAGGATCTTTATTTTGAAGGCATTCAATCATCTCTGTGTCATTCTCCTTTGAGCAGCCAGTAAATTTAGCTAAGGCCAAAGTTCCATTTCTGGCTTCCTCAGGAGACTTTACTGCCCAGGGGGTATTTGAGGATCCACTTTGCAGAATGGCTCTGGTAAACAAGGGGTAGCTCTGGGGACAAAGCAAATGTAAGCTCACTGAAGCTGCTCCTGCACTTTCCCCAAAAAGTGTTACACTTTTAGGATTCCCTCCAAAGGCAGCTATGTTTCTTTGGACCCACTGAAGTGCCAACTGTTGATCAAATAAACCCATGTTCCCCGGAGCCTCCGAATTTCCAGGTAAAGCTAGAAATCCTAGGGCGCCTAACCTATAATTCATCGAAACTACAATAACTCTTTCAACCCGTGCTAGAAATTTCCCATCATAAACAGGCAGAGAGGATGTCCCAGTTTGAAAGCCACCTCCATAAACCCATACCATGACAGTGGCATTTTTCGGTTTGGGTGCTGGAGTCCAAACATTCAGATACAAGCAGTCTTCACTGAGGTCTGTGTTCGGATTCCACATTTCTGACCCCGGGAAGCCTGGGAAGGTTTGATCTATGTTCTGATAACACGAATTTGCATATTTGGTAGCATTCTTAATGCCAGACCACTTGTTTAACGGTTGTGGCTTTTTGAATCTTAGCCTACCGAGAGGAGGCTGTGCATAGGGGATTCCCAGATAGGAAGTCACTGTGCCACCCAGAACAGGCAGGCTCAGCCCCCGTACTCTTCCAGTCTTGGTTGTGACTATGAAGTCTTCTTCAGTGTGTGACTTCCCCAAAAGCATGAAGACCACAAGAAAGCACAGGCAGAACTGGGTCTGTGTGACGGCGGTGCGCTGGGCTGTCATGTTGATTTCTAAGAGAAAAGTAAGCAGAATATGTTAACAGCGGTACAGATGCTGTGTGGTGGCCTAATAGTGACTATTTGCTAAAATAACAGTAGTTCCTATTTACCCTAAACGTGTATGAGTTGATGACTATGTTACCAAGCCAAATGATATGTATAAGTACTAAGAAGGAAATGTATTTCTCTCCACTTGAAGAGAAAAACATAGTAAGGAAAATACAAAGGATCTTTCCTTGGAAATACAAATCTGTAAGAAGTCTCAGTACCATAAAAAAAGGTAGTTTGTCCCAGGTACATATGATATCATTAACTACACATAACCACATCAAATATGGAATACCTTGGGGTAAACATGTCAGGGGTGTCTTGGGGAGAAAATACAAGTGGTTTCTGAAATAGCATGTCTGGATAATAGATGGTAAAACTCTGAAGTCTGTTAAGAATGTCGAAGAATCTGGAAGTATTGATTATTTATTCTCTTCCTTTGTTCCATGGTTCTATTCATGGACCCCCCTCTCTTTTTTTAAGTATATTTTGACCTCTATACAATCTAAGTTTATCCTCAAAAAGGGAAATGAGACATTTTTTGTAGAATATTAAGTAAAAATGAAGTAATTGCCATTTAGTTATGAATATCAATACTAACAAGCCAGCTTTTACTTTGGTTATTAACACATAGCTTGCTGGGGTGTACTATCGGGATGGCTCAGGGAAGTTCTCTGAAATTAATTTAAGATTAGATTTTCCTGCCTAAATCATAATATCCTTGGTGGGAGACCCAGTTGATATTTATGTGAAATGATACTGATTTAGAAGGAATTTTTACACAAATAACAACAATTAATTTGTAAACTGATTATATCACATGCAAATAGTTAAACATGCCAGCAAAGTCATGGATAATCGTGTTTTTTACAGTGTATAAAATCACTGAAATCGGAGGACCAATGCTATGAAATTACAAGAATAAGTGGAAGAGGCGATAGTAATCTATTTAAACTACAAAATGAAATGTATTTAATATTAATATTGTAGTGTATGTAGATGATATTTATTTAGGGCCATATGAAAACTCTTTGGTGTGATCACAGTTTTATTAAGATTCATAACATCAACATGAGGTTCTGTGAATAAAACTTTCCAAACTCCATGTGATTTAAAGGAATATAAAAACATAATGCAAATATCATTAAAAAGAATCAATGCCTTTTTATATAGTTGCAAGAAACACAATTAAAATACTCATTAACTGCTTCCACCCACATAACAGTGGCCAGCACTAACAAATGTACAGTCCTTCTGCTACTTTTTCTACTGATCTAATTTTAATCTAACCTGCCTGCTCAGGAAGCTAATCCTATCATCTCCAACCATTTTCTATGGATTTCTGCATGTATAATCAAGTTTGTTTTGGTAGGCAGTGAGAAAGAAAGAGATGTGAGAGCTATGTTTCCTCATAGTGAGCAATATATTTTTAATTTACTTACATTTATTGGGGGTGGGTCACATGTGTCATGATATAAGTTGAAGATGAGAGGACAAGATTGAATTTCTTATTTTCTACCCTTTACCCATAAAGCCCTCTTTCCACACTTTATACCTAGAAGAAGCTAATTTTAAATAAGTACTATTTTTTCCTCTTCACAGGAAATCTAGGGATCAAATCCCAACAAATACATAAATAAATTAAACCATAATATAGAGCACTTACTTTTGAACCCAATACCTCTCTGTATAATTTTATCAATTATCAATGTCTATCCAAAATAGAATTGTTTTAGGTAAATAAGTCTATATATAAATTGATTGCTGTAGTAATAAGTTCAGGTTTTAAAATCAAGTCACAGACTTTTGTTGTTGTTTGTAATGTCCTCTGTTTGATACAATAGGGTATGTGCTAAGATCCATTAAAATTATCAATGAAACATACTATTGTATGTTTGTTTCATGGGACATTCAAGTATTGCACTCACAGTGGGTGTAATGTGTAAGTAATAATAATCGAACTCCATGTAATAATAAAATAGAGGTCTGGAACCCTGACAGTTATTAAGGCAATTTTTTATTTTGGAAAGGAAATTTGGATTAGCTACTGTTCCTCATAGTTTTTTGTACTTTTTCCCTGGTAATTACAAAGCCTTTTCTCTAAATATAAAACAAAAAGGCATGTGGAATTTCTTTTTCTGTTTTGGAACATCAGCTTTGTCAAGAGAAAATGACAAGCCCGGGACCAGATCTGTCTGTTCTAAGCACACTTCAGTAAGCTCGCCTAGGACCCCTGGGATCCCTGGCTGCTTGTCTTTGGGTATGTGGAGTAGAGCAGGTTCCCTCTCAGTCCCCCGAAGAGATGATCTGGGTTGTTTTTCTTGGTTTTATTTAAAGATTCTTATAACAAAGATTCTTATAATAAAGATTCTTATAAGTTAAATGTTAATAATTTCAATTTCTAGTAATTTTTGGTAACTTAAAACTTTAGTTCAGAGGCTGGGGAGGTGCCAGAGTTGGTAAAGGGCTTGCTGAGCCGCAAGAACTTGTGTTCAGATCCCCAACACCCACATAAGAAAGCCAGGCGGTGGTGCCCCCTCTGTGACTTCATACAGTTAGGGAGACAGAGACAGGAGGTGATCCTAGGTGATTGGCAGCCATACTGTCAAGCCAAATCTGTGAGACATGGATCTGTGACAGACCCGTTCTGAAAGAAAAGTGGAAAGTCATCCAAGAAGACAGTTGACATCAACTTCTGGCCTCCACAGACCAGGTGATACACCTGAGCTCACAAGTGTACACACAACACACTACACAAGAACACATACAGATGAACATGTACACAATTATTTACACACATTTCTTCAACAGTTTCTTGTAAAGTAAATATAACTACCTTCATTTTGTATTTGCTTGGGATATAATTAAAAACCACTACAATTTTATAATGTTCTAGAATAGCTACTATCACACCTAAAAAACAGGTTTTTCCTGTTACCTATATGTACATAGATTTTTCTTCTGTGATTTAATATCCATTTTCCTCCAAATGGAACTTAAATTTCCAGAGTACTGTTTATATGAATTAGCATCATATTCTCAATAATGACACCTATGAGGTTTGGTTTAAAATATATACAAAGTAAAATGTAACATTAGAAACAAGTACCTTAAGCATATATTTATGTAAGGATGGCAATTCAGTTCTTTCTCCCATGTTACCTGCTGAGAAGTCATACTCCAAATTGACAAATCTGCAGTGCCTAATGAAAATATGCCAATACTCCCACATTTGGTAGTCTAAATTTGTTACATTTAAATCAACATTATCCCATTCTGCTCATAATCTGATGTTTTAACTTCCCAGTTAAGACATATTTAACATGTATTTTACAAATACTTAAATAAATAAACTTCAAATGAATTCATTAGCTTGTTTTTAATTATAATTTTTAAATCCTATAGAACTCCATTGCCTTTCACATTTTGTGGTGCACCTGGTAAAACTGCTAAAAAATAAAAGATTAAACTCAGAGAAACATGCTTATCGTAAAAAGTGAGGCAAACTTTCACAGTGAATACAGCTATCTTAATGTAGATAAGCACATTCCTTGAAATAGTAGTTAATATTTCAAAGACATTAGGGAATGTTACTCATGAGGCAAAAGTAAAATAGGTACTAGAAGTAGAAAAAAAAAAGATTTTCAGGATAACAAATTCAAGTTTAACAAATGCTATTTCATATCAAATTTTACTGTTAGCATTATACAAAGTCTAAATTTTAAAACTTTAACTTTTAAAATAAAAAGAACACATCATCTGTTTTCAAAAAAAGGTCAACTTCTAATTCAAATTCAAAGTCTAAATTCCCCAGAAAATTTTATGAGAAAATTTTATGAGAAAATATACAAGAAAATATACCTTAACATGTGGGTGTACTAAAAGTGACTAATAAAAAAACTAAATATCATTGTTTATCTATGTAAATGCTAATATGCATTACTCAAATATTTAGAATAGTGGATCAACCTGGAAATATGTAAAAGAAAACTGTCATGGTCTGATTTTGCAAACATCACTAAAATCTGTCACTGTTAACTGGAAATGGTGATTCTTAAAATGAGTTGGGAAAGTGCTATCTAGATTGTACTGGAAGAATCTAGAAGCAGCACTGGAATTCTGTTTGACCAAAACAGCTAAGTCTCTATATCAAATGAAACACTGTTTTGTTTCAGGCTAAGTGAAGTGGGGTATTGAGGAAATCTGTTCATAAATGGACTACATCCCCATGTTCCATTAAACTTTGAATGTCTGCTGAGACATCTGGGCATACAGAAGATGACAGATGAGTTCAGAGAACTCCAGATCTATTCCTGATCAAACTCACAATGGATATTCACAATATTATATGAGTAAACTGAATATTAAATTATTGTATTTGTTGGGTTTTCTTTGAAAGCTGAAATTACTTGTCATTTTACTCTCATTTCTTTTACCACTTGTGGCTGTGAGGACTTGGCAGAAGTGAAAGTGTAAAGAGATACTTGGTTCTCTCACTCTATCATGCTATCAAAACAATGGAAGTCAGAGAAATGGGAATTTCTCCAGGAAACACATGCTATAAGGAGAAAAGTACATTCCTCAAAGAGATTCCATACAAATCAAGCAACTTCTGGTACCACCTTTCAGGATGAGACAAGCCTAGGCGTTGATGGGTCAATGCTAGGTAGGACCACACCTTAACAAAGACTGCTTGGATGGGCATATCCCTGGTTCACTGTTTAAACTTTAGTCTCACTTCTGGGCTCTAAAGATGGATGGTGGGAGGGAAAGCTTTGTCCCTTTTCCCAATATGGTTACATGGAACACATCTCCCTTTTCTGCTTTCCACAGCACTATTAGCTACTTAAATTGGTTTAATAAGGACCTATGTGACCAAACTTGGCTTAAAGCAAAGGCTGTGGTCCCCAAATTTGATAGCAAAGTAGTCTATTTCAGTAAGAATAAGCAGACTTT